GAGCCACCAGGCCTTGTGAGCAAGGATGTCAATGAGGAGGTGCTGTGCTACAGTGGACAGGGTCTGTTGCTGGTCATCCCAAACCGATTAAGGAACTGAGAGTGGCTGTCAGAGCTTCCCCCCGCCTTGACAAGGTGGGGCCCAACCGCGTGAGCAGATGTAGAGCAGTAATCCCTCAGGTTCCCTGAGGGGACGTGGAGATTAGCCTGAAAGGCCCTGCTCTGAATCCCTGCAGGAGCTGTTTTGAGAACTAAACCACCACATGGGTCCCCCAGCCTGTCCTTGTCGTTGTCCTCTACATGCATGGCCCAGCAGCATCCTCTGGACAGAGCTGCTGCAGCCAGCGTGGCTCCCATCCTACTGCACTCAGGGCAGCCCAGCTTCTATCCCAGGAGTTGCCCAGAGTGGGTGCTTCTAGCAACTTTCCCAGGGATCTTACAGGAGCTTTATTGCCAGAAAAGAGACTCTACAGCTATCCCCTCTCCTTCTCCAAACTTTCATCCCTTGTGACTTCCAGAGGCAGCAGGGATGAACCACATTTGAGTGGGATTAGTCCTCCATCTCTCGTATCCCCTAGGCCAGACAAAGGTTCCCTGAAGGGGATCCCCATCCTTTCAGTGACTTACAGGTCACAGCTATCTTCATGGTTAACGCTGGTCCAGGGCACAGGCAAAACCTGTGCTTGACCAGGTCACTCCATCCTTGATCCCCTCCTGGCACTGTTTTTTCCCGCTTCAGGATATGAATTACCAGCTATGATGGCGTGCTGTGTCCAGGCCTTCAGGATCTTCCTTTTCAAATCCTTCGTCTTCACTCATCTCCAGCTTCAGGAAGTCATTTGACGTGCAGTGGTTGTGTCTCCATGGCAGTGGCTGTGAACATCGCTCTTCTGCTGTTTGCTGCCCGTACAGTTCCCATCCTGGCAGGAACAGCCATGGGAACGCTTGCTGCCAGGCAGTCGTTTAGTAACTCCAGTGCATCGCTCCTCTGGGGCAGTGCTGTGCAACTGCCGGAGGGACTTTCCTTATTTCCTGTTGTCCCATTTCCCTTAAATTCCTCGGCTCTCCCTGGGCCTGTGGCA